TTATTCTCTTTTACCCTTATAATGTGTGCTCAGAGTCATTTGGTAAGAAAATATAAGTATTAAATATAGATATTATTATTGTTTGACAGAAAGAACAAGAGGAAATGCTAAGTAGGTCACTTGGAAGGTTGGACTTTGAGAAGCAAGATGGAGGAGCGCTGGAGCCACCGCTTATTGCTGACGACATATCACAGGTAAGTACAAGATGTCAAATTTTTCCAAAGTTAACATGTTTGAACAAACATACTGTTTAGTTGCAGTACTATTAAATGCAGCGCAATTGACTTCACTATATGTTTCCAATGCCGACAACTATAAAATTGGAGTACAGTGAAAGTATTACAAAAACACCCTCATCACTTTTTTTGCAAGTGGGTTAAGGTGATGCTCAATTCATAGACCATAACATTAACCTGCTACATGTCATAGGGCACTCTACTACTGATATCAAAAATTTTGTAGATAATATGTACACATGACTTTGACATAATTTACAACATTCATTGTGTCTTTAAATTTTGATTAATAAGTCTGCATAATTGCTTATATTATTGTGTTTTATTGATTTACAGCCAAAGTCAATCTCATCTACAAACCTTTCAGCTGCATCTTCTAAAGGCAATTCGCTGGCTTCAAAGTCAAGACCGCCCTCAAGGACAAGGAAAGTGTATGTACTTGCATGTTTTAGATTTTTTTTTTTATTTGATTTACTACATATGCTACAAATTGTGTCTATTGTAGGAAAAAATATAAGTGAAAATAATCTAAACATGTGAATTAATATAAATAAAGACAACCAGGTATAATCCCATCCCCCCCCCCCATGAACGCGAAATTGGCGCGATTTTGGGGGGTGGGATTACACCCGGGGATTCCCATGGGCATAACCGGAACGAAAATGACGATCGTTTTGCGAGGTGGCAGAAGCATTAGAACAACTGCCCTACAATGGCCTATCCAAAACTATATTCCGGTGAAGAAATCAGAGTTTACTCGAACATCAAAGGGATGGGAACACCCTAATTAGTAGGCTTAAGCGTCTAGCTAGAGAGGCTGTATCTTGGTCTTACCTCGAGCTAGGCCAGCCTTTGCCTAAAGTTTCTTGATGTCGTAGGTTATTTTTTGCCCAGCAACAACGAATCCGACCAATCACCCATCGCATGTGAAGACCGCCCACTTATAATGCATGATGTAACAAGTTATTTTTAGCAGCGAGAGTTTCTGTGGAACTTGTGAGTCTTCACGCTGGGAATTAACCCACTGGGCGGGTCTCTTTAGGGACGGACCGCGGTGTTGTCTGCTGTTAGCCGCAGTTAGTGAGCTTGTTTATTTTAGCGACAGTAAACAACAAGAATTTACAAGAATGGGCTTTGTATCCAACTCAAAGGCTACCAATGTCTGGTCTTATCAATTGGAAGAGTTTCAAGTCTGCTGAATTTGGATCCAAATCCTTTATATTTTGTGAGCATTTGTTACCGACCTAGACCTATTCCTACTCACCTAAATTATACGCTGGGACTTTGCCCGGGGAAATGCCTGTACACGAAGTTGGGCATAAAGTCGGGGGTGGTATTAGTGTAATAATGATAATAATATTATACCAAGTACAATAAAATCTTTTGAGGTATAGAAATGACACTGTATTTGAAAGTATTGACAAACCACTACATTAATTTTATTATTATTATTATTATTATTGTAACTTTCAGCGCTAGACCAAAATCAAGGCCATCCTCAAGTGCTGTGGATGATGTAGCCATTCCAGCTGAGATGGGTGACTTCTCCCTAGCTCACACCATCACAACCATAGAAAACCAAGTAGGTGATGTGGATGTGATATCAGACCACGAGGATGACATGCTTCCCCAAGGAGCTGAGGGAATGGGAACAGGTGTGTTGGATTGTAGGTTTTTTAATCACCGACATCCTTCCTACTACCACTATTCTACTACCTACTACCACCATTGTCTTTTTGCCACCACCACCTCTTTCCATGTCATTACCACCACTACCATTGCCATCATAATCATCATTAACATCATCATCATCAACGTAATCATCATCATCATAACCACCAGTATCATCGTCGTCGTAATTATCATCATTGTCGTAATTATCATCATTATCGTCATCAACATTATCATCATCATCATCAACGTTATCATCATCAACATTATCATCATCATCATCAACATTATCATCATCATCAACTTTATCATCATCATCATCAACATTATCATCATTATCAACATTATCATCATCAACATCATCACCATTATCACTGACCACCATATATCATCATCTTCATCATGATACCACTTCCTTCCACATCATTACTTGCAAGAAGTTTTCTAGGGGAATTCTGAATTTGTATTTTTGTGTACAAATGGATTGAAGGATATAACAGGTTTTCTTTATATTACTGGTAACAATTGTATTTCAATATTTTGTAGTGTTGTAATGTTTGAGGGAGGATATTATATTTTAATTCAATTTGTTTTATCATTCAGAGGCAACAATTCGTTTTTTAAAAGCCAAGCTGAGAGTGATGCAAGAAGAGCTTGAACGATTAGCTCAGGAATGTGTTTCAAAGGTAACGGCAGATATCAGATTTCTATTGGGAACACTTTTTCATTAGTGGCACCCATCACTTTGATTGTGCACCCAAAACAATGAAAAAATATAACTTAAAACCAAAAGTAAAAAAAAAACAGAAAAATACAGAGATAATGCTAGTTTAACTACCTATACCTCAAAATCTAGCAGTCCATTGCAGAACTTATCCCTCCTCCAAAGCCTTCCATTTGCTCCTAATCCTCGCTACTATCAGGAAGTTGTACTACCGTAGATCGTCTCTCCAACTTGCTTTTGGTTTTCCTCTTTTCCTTTTCCCTACCCTTGGTTGCCATTCGGTTGTCCTGCTGGTCCATCTATTATTTTGGAGTCTTGCAACGTGTCCTGGCCATCTTCATTTATTTTTTTGTGATTGTTTGTAACAGGTTGCTGTTGCTCGTCCTTTCCCGTATTATTATGCATAGTACTTTATCCATGATTGTGATGCCTAGCAGTCTCCTTTCCATTGCATAAAAAATACATCAAAGTTTAATAAATAACGTACAGTAGTAGAAGTATGTACTGTGTATCTGTATTGAACAGAAACTGAAAGGAATATAGTCCATATAATTTCCGGAAACACAAAAACACAGGAACACAAAAAGGCACATAGAAGCACAAACACAAATCCACAAAATCTGATGTGCGAGTCCACATCGTTAAATTTAAACTTTTGATTTGACTTCTTAAATAAGAAAAGGGAAATATAATATTTCGTATAATTCTTAAGTCAATGAAATTAAAGCATTTCCCAATTACAATATATCGATAATGACCTGACCACTAGAGGGCAGATCTACTAGTGGCAAAATCAATTATAAGTCAATTAAAAAAAATACATTGAGGAGGAATGTGTTTTATTCCCACTACACCTCTTCATTTCTGTTACCAGAAAAAATTAAGCTATTATTATTATTATTATTATTATTATTATAAGCGCTAAGTCGGACTTAAGGGGAATATCTTTTGTGCTATTTTCCACTTAACGTCATTTTTTTTAATTGTTCTCTAATTTCTCTATTGTCTAAATTCCCCTTAAGGTAGGTTTTAGTAACAATAATAATAATAATAATAATAATATGCACTAAGTCAGACTTAAGGGGAATATCTTTTGTGTTATTTTTCCTTAACGTCATGTTATTTTCCCCTTAACATTATTTTTTAAATTGTTCTTTAATTTCTTCATTGTCTAAGTTCCCCTGAAGGTAAGTTTTAGTAACGTTATTATTATTATTATTATTATTATTGTTGTTGTTAAGGTCAGTCTTAAATAAATTCATGTTTTAATTGCATATCTCTGGGAATTGATGAATCATTATATTGTTTGACAATAGGATGAGGCAAACCACAAGTTAAAGAATCAGTTAAAAGATGTTGAAGATGAGAAGACCAGACTGCAGAAGACAACTTCAGGACAACAGGCACAGATTGATAAATATAAGAAGATGTCGGAGGATGGAAAGCGAAAAACTGACACATTAGAAACGCAGTTGACAGGTTTAAGAAAGGTATTGACACAAGTGACTATCTACAAATTTCTTCAGTTTAGGCCTACTCTTAGTTAATTTTGTAATTTATATCTTAATTTAACAGTTCAACAATTTGGCAGAAAATACAAATGTTATACTTTTAACTGTTACCTTAATTATTGTGATTAATTTTTGTATTATTGTTGTTATTGTTATAATTTATATTAGTAATATGATACAGTATAAATTATTTTAAGGTTATAATTAAATCATTATCAATAAACATATAACAAATTTTTCGGTACACCATGTGTAAATAAAATAATATGGTTTTTATTAAGGTAAAAACCACTGGTTGGAGACAACCAACCAGTGGTTTTTACCTTAATAAAAACCATATTATTTTATTTACACATGGTGTACCAAAAAATGTGTTATATGTTTATTGATACTCGCCATGCAAACCTTCAAGAAATATTTTAAATCATTATCAATGTGACATAATGTTAGTTACTGTATTAATTAACGTAGGAACTTGATTCAATGAAGAGATCACAGAAACAGTCCACAGCCAACCAGAGTGTAACAGAAGTGAGATTAAATCGAGCGTTAGAAGAAATCGAGAAATACAAATTACAGATACAGCAAAGCAAGCAGTCATCGCGGGTATGTTAATATCGCCCTCTATATTCAAACTTACCATATTTAAATTAGCTCCCTAATTTTATATCAAAAGTTGCTAAGCACAACAAGGTTTTGTTTACAAGTACTGCAAATGAACCTGTGTCACAGAAATGATAAGGGACAGGGATAATGTGACACCTATGACTAAGGGACTAATTATAGAGACATGAAAAAATGATGCCATATTCCAACAGTTTTAATAAATACTGCCCTCTGCAGTGAATTTTACCATATTGATGAACTTTGCCTACGTGCTTCATGTTTTTTTTAGGATTCAACTGAGCAAGACAGGAAGAGATTGGATCAGTTGCAAGCTGAAAATAGACTTCTTAATAAACAAAAGAATGAACTAATGGCTGGCTTTAAAAAACAACTGAAACTGATTGACATCCTAAAAAGACAAAAGGTAGACATAACTACATACAGTATCACTAATTAACTCTTCTTCATCATTTTCCTCATCTTATTATCAATTGCTTTCTCTTATTCATCTTTTTTTGTCCTGTCTTATTATTTTTCTCCTCTTCCTTATCCTTTTTTCTCATCTTCATTATCTCATTACTTCTCATCCTTTCCTTCATTTTTTCCTTTTTTTTCACCCATTTTACTCATCTTCCTTGTCTTTTCCCTATCTTCCATGTTTTCATCTTTTTTCATGTCTTATATTTCTCTTTGTTTTTTTTTTTCTCTTCTTTTCTCTTCTTGTTTCCCTTTTTTCCTTGTTCAATCTCATCATAACCTTCATCAGCATATGAGGATATACAAATATTGACTGGTCATGAGGGGATTGGGTGATGTGAAGACCGTAGGCTCTCTTCCCAAAGATAGGCTACAGTCTCCAAATCACTGATGGGCTATAGATTTCATCGTTCCCCGAATCTAGAGCAGTCAATATTTGTTTGCTATACCTTATACATAGATTCTACGAGACCTAAAAAAGTAATGAAAAGAGTACACACCAAGTAGGCCTACAGTAGGCTTACTTCAGGGCTAGGCAATCATAGGGCCAATCTCTCTCAGCGTTGTAGAGGTCGCGTCCCCTTTACCGTCCGTGCATGTCATAAATTACATAGCAACGTTTATAGGTGGCGGTCTAGAGATTACACATCGCGACAGGGCAAAAAAGTACTGTCATTTAGGGTGATAGTACTTTTTCCCCGGGAAAAAATAAACTATCATTTAAATCTACGTCATAGGAGTGATGGTTGAAGTTACTGCCCGCTTCTTAACCAATCAGATGCCTAGAATCTATGTATGCGGTATATAATATGCATTTATCCCTCTACATTAGAGCCCCGAGGGCAGTGAAATCGCATCTAAAGCCTTAAAGTACTACTTCTTCCTTTGTTTATTTATTTTCCTCTTTTAGTTTCTTCAGTTGTTTTCAAAGATATTTTATAGTTTAGCTAATAATTGCCTAATGAAGTTGTTGTTTTGAGGTTACTGCTTTTTCCATTGGAAGCACCTCTGGAGTATTTTTTTGAAATACAGTATGTGCACTATAGAAATCATATATATTTTATTATTTTTATTATTGTTTTTGTTGTTATTATTGAATTATAATTAGTGATATCATTATTAAATGTCTGTCTCTTTACACTATTGTAATAATAGCAAAAGCAGCATTTTTCTTATGAACTGATGTTCATGTTATTTCATTAACTTAATATTCCAGATGCACATTGAAGCTGCTAAACTGCTGTCATTCACAGAAGAGGAGTTTGTGAAGGCTTTGGAATGGGGGAACTGAGCATGCTCACCTGACACCAAGCTATGGAATGGTAAGAACTGGAACATGCTCAAAGACATACAAAGCTTTGGAATGTGCAAACTGAGCATGCTTATGGATGCAAAAAGCTATAGAATGGGCAAACTGAGCATGCTCACTAATACACCAAGATTTCCGAATGAGCAAACTTACATCAACTAATATAAACTGGTAAAGTGCTTTTAAGTATGCTTAGAATCATTATATTTACAAGAATACTTACAGGTCATCCATGTTAGTAAAGCACTTCTGAGCATGCTCAAAGACATCTTTTTTAAACATCAGTGCAAAGCACAGTCCAGTCGGGGTCCAACAAGTCCAACTGGACTGGGGGTCCGAACCAGGTGAACAACTAGAGCCTCTGTTAGGGTTCCAGAATAAAATCCCTGATGGGGTTCATGGGGAGTTTTTATGGATTGTTATGACCCAAAAAGTGCTCTGTGATCAAGGTAGTGTAGGGATTGGCATACAAAATTATGTTATTGGGATAAGAACGGAGGAACGGGAAGACAAAGGGTCCATTCATCTTCGATAGCAGAGCAATTTCCCCCCCCCCCACAACTAATGGCACCCCACTGCATTCATGGCAAAATATATTGATGATTGTTTTTGTTTTGAGATTACCATTTTTGCTTAACTGTCTAACCCCTCCTCCCCTGCAGTGTACAGTATGTTTGTACTCCCATGATGATTATGAATACAATGGATGACCCCTTAACTGTCAGTTGATATTTAAGTTTTATAGATTCTGTTGTCCTTTGAGACGAGCATATTTACAGTATTGGTTTTGTATACATTAACCCTAGCAACCATGTGTTATGCTTGTATTGTTCATTTGTATATGTAGGTCTAAACCAAGGCTATTTGGAATAACCTAAGTATAGTACTTAACAGGTAATAAAGAAAGTCTGTATGAATTGATCAATGTTATTTAGGTTGGTCTTCCTTATCACAAGCAGTATTAACTGTGTGATTGTGTTCATCTGTTTTTAGTAACGCATCTGACTTCATTTATCGTTTATAAACTGTAAGCCAATATTTGACAAATATGGTTTGTAAACATTATTAGTGTACATAAATGGACACTCTCTTGCAAGCACCAGTAAACTGGCAATCGGCATGACAGCCTGGGTTTGCCAAATATTGTATTCTGATAATTATATTTTATCTACAATCTTAACTTGTACTGGACAACAATAATATATGATGTCCTTGATAAAAACGTAAGTGGGCATGGTTTGTGTCGCACAAAATTTCTTGGAAGATTTTTTTAAAACTTTAATTTAATTGCCAAATTGTGTTTTTTCTAGCTGACAGGGTAGTCAGAACTCCTGGTCCCCATTTCTTCATCCCCTTTTCACCCCCCCCCAGACATTACCCTTGCAATACTAGCTCATCTACCACGGTAATATATGGACCTATATTAATAATATTTTTATCATTCAATAAAATTGACCAATTTACCTTTATTATGATGATGTATTTCTTGACCAAATTTTCCTGTGCACAAAGAATGCCATGTTTGATTGCATTTTTTTTTTTTTACAGTTTACTCTTGGGACTGTTCATGCAATTAGTAACATCTTAATGTAAACATTTTTTGATTTTTGAAATAGGCCTATATTCTATTTATTTGCAAATATATTTATATTTAACTTTAAACTTGAACCTAAAGTTAACCTTATACAGTCTCTTTGTATAGTAATTCTGATTTTTTTGTGATAAGATTTTGCAAGTCATTACTAGTATGTGTATACTATTACAGTACTTCTCTTTGTATATTTGCTGTGTCTGTAAACTTCCCTCTCAAGTGATGCATTATCAGATTCCTTGTTTGCCAGTACTAAGGTTTCAGCAGATTCACATATATTGCTTCTTTATATGTTTTTTGCAAACAACAGACGAGGAAAGTATTAAAAGAAACACTCCAATAAATGTATATAAATGGTTTTTTTTTTTTATTAAAGTGAATATTTTCAATTAAGGTGAACATTTTCCAATATTTAATTGTGATGTATGAATTGAGGTTTTCTAAGATACCCTTTGTGACGTAAAGTCTGGTAAGAATTGGAAAATCCAATGAAAACATTACATTCCTCATTTGAAAGGATAACAAATTATAAAATTCCAATAAAAAACAGATCAATATCACTGATTTACATAATTTTAGTATATAATTAATATTTTCTTATTCCTAATTTTCTTTTAAAAGCTAAAACCTTAAATAAAAAAAATAATTTTTAAATTCCACACATACAATATACTGCATCATTGTTTTGTCTTAAGTAAACATCAAAATGAGTCTATTAATGTATACAACAGATAACTATATTGCACTTAATATAAACTACACACTCCAAGCTGCTCTTGGTACATAAAACATCCAACCATTCCTATACAAAACAATAATTCATTTTTTAAATAACATTCCTAAGGGAACAATAGTCACAATAAATATGACATACTGATGCACAAATAAAAGTAACAAAGCATAACAACAATCTCTGTGGGTTGAACCACATTCAAGGCCTGTAGTGTGAAAGCATTCAAGTTTTTGGCTAAGGGTGGCGTGATAAACAACCCTACTACACCCATTTCTAACATCCATATTCTGTATTTATAAACAAAGTTTCCATAATTGCAGTGACTGTATATTAGAATTGTCAGGATCTTAATAAAAAAAAGTTTTTTTAAATCAAATATAAAATATTGTACAGTTTTATGAATATACAAAATAAATTATTAGCCAACATTTGCAGTCATTATCAAAATAATTTCATCATAAAGAATTTATGGTTTTAGTTTTAAAAACCAAAGTCAAATAATGTCAACTTATTAGAATTACTAATTTTGTGCATGGACTTAAATAGTGTACTTTGTACAGGTATATGATTCTACATTTTATGTAAACTTGCTCAATACTAATTAGGCATAAAAACAGTTATCGTATTGCTAAGCATAGCAACACATTTGGAAGGCGTCAGAATTTTATCTATAGAACTAATTCTACGTGTTTGTACCAACCATCATTCTTCCACCATGCATTTTGGTCGATAAAGCGCGATAAACTCAGATGTAAAATCTGGGTCAATTATATAATTTATGAAGCTGGAAAAGTTGTCTACAGCATCACAAGAAACATCGCAAGTATTTTTTGGCTCATTTGTGCAATTTTTTTATTTTTTTTGCAAAAAAAAAGAAGCCACCGATTCAAGGTTTTTGAGCATGAGCAACACTAAGGTTTTTTCGCCTTAATGGTAGACACCATCTGGTCAATATGGGGTGTGACACCTTCCATAACTCCTCTCCACATGGCACAATAGTGCAGTATCATCTGGGAATCCATAGCATAGTGTACAAAGTCACTTAGAAACTCTCCCAATATAGCACATGACACAGGCCCCTGCATTATCTGATGCTACTGTCAAAGTGGCACGTACATGCAGCATTTTTGACCACATAGCACCCTGCTGCTACAGCATCTAGGCATCCTGCCACATGGCACCTGCTGCAGCACCATCTGGGATTCCTACCACATGACAGCATCCATCATAAAACACACCATATGGACAACAATGGAACCAAATTTAATAAATTGCTAAAATTAATTTTTAACTTTGAAGTCTGTGGATATTGTAGATAACTCTCTATCTACAGGGAAGTTGTATGTATCATGCATATGTCCACTTGACTTGTGTACACAACAGCTGCATGAATTCTGTTGATTAAGGAGCGTGGTTACTCTTGAAAAGTGTTGATATTGTCTGAATAATCATATTTTAGTTCTCAGTTAATAAACCTAGCAACCAATCATGTCTAAGAATTGTCATGTTAAAATAATTCTTTTGTTTTGTTTATAGCAGGCACACGTATGATGTTTAATTTAGAAATTTTTACAAATGATGTTATAATAGTTGTCTGGTTTTGTTTTCACACTCTTCAGTAGATAAAAGATTTTTGACCTGCTCATCATCTATTCAGGGAACAGTGAAATTACACCGTTCCCTGATCTATTATAGTGGCTCTTAGCTTCTACCATTCTAGTAGCGGTAGTTCTTATCTGTATAGTTTGTCCTTAAATATAATAAAGGAACTCAACTGTTCTTTTGAAATTTGGGCTAGTCCCTATCTATGACACTAGGCGGCTGCAGTACACCACAACCCCTGGTGATATAATGTGGCATATTTATGGGAATTGATGTTAGGAGAATATTGGGGAACATGTAATAGGAAAGTGAGTGGCATTAGCAGTAGAATGAGTTGATTCAAAGTGATTTTTAACTACTTGAGTGCGATTTTTTTTTTTTCATTCAGGAAATTTCCAGTAGTGGGGGGAACATGTGGGTTCAAACATATTTTGGGGGTCAGGCCTTACACCTCTTTAGATTTGCTGCAGGTGAATTATGCAGTACACTGGTAAACGTCACTATAACAACTCCCTGAGTCACCAAATTTTTTTTGAAAAATTGTAAAATTCTTTAACATCAACATGGACCATTCTGTACACAGGACAAACAGCTGAAATGTCTCTTCCAAAAAATAGAGCATTACAAGGCGAGACTCTTTTTATTTCTTGTTTCACGTAGTTATTTTTTTTAAAGATCATCAGAGGAGGGCGTAAGAAAAATAAAAATTTAATTTTTATTTTCTTATTTAGCAAAAAGTTTTGCCTAAATCATCCAGTCAGAGAAGAAAATAAAAAAAAAATGTTATTGGAGAATGTAATAGGATGGTTAAAAATGCTTCAAATTTATATAATTAGGAAGAAATATACATATCTTATCTTTGCAGATTTCAAGGCAGCGGGTGCGCTAATTGTCCGAAAATATTTTCTTTTTATTCGAAATTATCACTATTTGCAGTTGGCGGGTTCGCTAAGCAAGGTATCAAAAAGTCTTGTCTAACCCGGAACAGCTTCCTGTACTGGAACACACAACGGTGTCCATGCTGCGTCACACACAGAATGGTTACCATACCAATGATTTGAAACAAACTGCACTATGCTACCCTCACCACAACTTAGTTCAGGAACATGATGAATTAGTATCAGTGTATTTACAATTAGTCCTTTAGTCCCTTTGCAATGGAGTCATCATCAACAGCCACACCATTTAGACATTTTTGATTTGCTAGATAATTCAACTTTATTTTCCTTGAAAGCTTCCTCAAGATCATGCTGATGGCTTAACTGAAACAAACAAAAAAAATCCAAAATTAATATATTTTATTGATCTTAAGTTTACCTCAGCCAGAGGGAGTTGTTATACTCTGCCAAGGAAGTTATATCCATCTCTGTCTGTTTCAGTTTATTTGCTAGCAGGATTAAGCAAAACTAATGAATGGATCATTATAAAAATTAATGGAATGGTACATATGGGACTAAGGTAGAGATGGTTAAGTTTTGGGGTGAAAGATCAAGGTCACAGTTACAAAAATTTGAAAAGTCACATTAAAAAGGATTATTCAAAAACTAAATAATCATGAAATGTAGTGGATACATATTGGATATTAATTTTACAGTTAAATGGTCATATATATAGAAACTCATTTTTTTTTATTACTTAATTTGCTATTCAGAGACAAGATATCAGTGTGCACTCTATTTTATTGTTATTGTTTTTCTGTAAGTCTTTTATGTTCATGACATAAGGTTGAGGTCCTAGGCCATGCAATTTGAATTTTTAAGCTTAAAAATACAAGATTTAATAGGCCAAAATATGTCAAGGTGGGTACAATGTATGTTTTAAAAACAACACTAAAAGTAGGCTTCTCGTAATTTCAACCATTCCACTTCACAAATGTACACATGTCAGTTTTTCATTTAATAAATTCAATACATGTAAAATGAAAAATGTATCATCTTCAAAATGGTACAATAGAAGCAAACAGTAATTGCTATGTGGTGCATAATAGTGCTATTTTTCCTTTAATTAGTATTTTTAAGAGCCTTGTATGATGGGAAATTTGACTGGGTATTTCCATCTACGCCTTTCAGTACAATCAATCTTTAGAACATAATAAAAAGTGTGTTTACTTTTCCAAGCACCCTGTTTATATCTGCCATTGAGTAAATATATCGTTTGCTGCTTTATATAAGAGCACAAAAAAGTGCTAGAAATATAGCTGTTTGTAAATTCCTAATTTTTTAAATATATTTTTTTAAAGGTGTTGTACACTTACTCTTTGATCCACAATATTTTTGCACAGTAATTGAAAAACATTTTCTAGATTGAGATTGTGCTTAGCACTGACTTCTTCAAACTGCATTTCATAGGCAGATGCTAACTGAAAGACAAAATATGTGAAGAGTTCATCAAGTGTTGTATTGAATCCTATCAGACTATCGAACAGTTTGATTAAACATTTTGATCATCACAAGCTAAAAGATATGCAATGACACTATCATTTGCTATAAGTATTAGAGCACAAATGAAATGGTGATTGAACATTATGAGTTCTTAAAGTGGAATAATAAATCAGTAAATCAATCAATTGATCAGTCAGTAATTCAGTCATCATTCAGTTGATCAAATTATTCTCTACTTCAACTTTATTCAACTTTAAATTTTATTTACTTAGTTTGTTGTTCCTGGTCTTAGATGCATGTTGAGATGTTAACCTGTGACTGTGTGTTTCTGCCAGGTATACTGGCCCTTTAACTTGAAAAGAACAACACAAAGAACGACACTCCAGTCTGCAACCTAGTGCGGTCGCTGCATGCATAAATTTCCTTTGTGATTAATTGATTGTATTTGGATTTCGAAATATTAAGGATTATGATTGTGGGGTGGGGGGTCAGGAAAGGGAACATGAGTTTAGTAAAAACAAACATTGGTGTGGGTGAAAAAGTCTTGGATGTTTTTTTACAAATTTACTTAAAAATCAAGGTATAGTATTATCATTAATTTGTAGTCTTTTAGACTTCCATAACGCTTGAGCAGTTTCAAATTCCTGTAAATACCCAAAATATCATATATAATATCATATATAAACGTAAACTCTGAATCACTTTGGTTATTCTGAATGTTTATAGGGTGTAAAGGTGAATATGTGAGAGAGATTAGTGTGACATTTTAAAGGACTTTACAACTATACACAATCTCCTCAGCTGTTCATACAACCATTTCCAAGTTACATAGTATCTCAATGTTATATATATCTCAGTCAATTGGAAATGAGAAAATTAAATAACAATGTTGCAAACATTGACTTTATTTTCAAAGTCAAAATGTATGAATCATCTCTTTATCTACAAAAGTAAACAACTATGAGATACAAATAGATTTCGAGTGAATTGTTTAATGATATTCACATACAATGACTGTAGAAAACAAGTTTTGTTAAGGCCAACATTTTTTCATTCCTGGTGACAGATTGACATGTGTCTGAAATACACATACTTTATTGAGTTTTCTTTTATTCAAACTCACAAAGCATTTGTGTGCCATAATTTTAAAAGATTTTTTTTTTTTTACTACATATCACAGATAGTAATCTGTCTAACTTTATTCATATATGTTATAAAATAACCCAAGTGGACCCCATGTGTTCACTGTATCCAACTTATTGTAAACCTATAAATTTGCTTATCAATTAACTTAAAATGTCTGGTTCAGTAGGTTCATATAGTAGTGTATAGAAAAACTAACATGGCTTAAACCTAAGGATTCGCCAACTCACAATGCTGTTTTGGCCTATATATGACAATCAACTATATAATACTTGGGTTTTAAACACATACTATTGATAAATTTTTTCTGTATAACTATTTCAAGTCACTTGTCATTCTGTCTCTCATAAGTTTAAATTAGCATGTAGGTTTGGACATGTAGTATGCTGTAAAATGAGGTTAAGTTTAGTTTACACAAAAGTGCAACCAAAGGGTCCCCAGTGAAAATTGGAATAATAATTTGTTTTGGTGACTTATTATATTTACCAGTTATAGTCAATTTATTTACTGGATGTGTGATGATAGTCTCTCATAATCTATACATGTTGTTAGTCACTTAGATTGGTACCATACGATATACCAACTATCTCTAGCTTTTTCCAAAATTTTAAATCATTTATGGTTTTAGATTAGGTAGGCTCTAGGGTATTCATATGTGTGGACGAGGGAGGGGCAATAGATGGAAGAACAATGAATACATTAAGACACATTAAGACAAAAATACAAAATTAGATATGGTATACATAGATACCTATATGTATGTTTGTGTATATGTGTATAGCCTTTAAATCTGCATGATGTTACAGGGACTTAGATACATAGATATTAAATCTAACAAGTACAAGTATGTTAGGTAACAACACCTCTGCTTTATGCGTCGTACAATTATGGAATGTCCGCATGGCCTATTATACTATGTCAAAATGTTAATAATATTATATATATATATCCCATTACAATTCCTAGCAGTATTTAATTTCTATTAATAATTGAGCTAGTTAGGATATCAAACATAATGATTCAAGCATGATTCAAATAACTCACTGTTTTGCCTCGTTTGTAATCAACTTCCCTGCCATCTTTTTCGCATTTATTGCCAACCAAAAATTTACAAACCTCTTTTGAAGCATTCTGCAAAATAACATCTCATGATAGGTAACAGGCGACTAAATCAATGGCACTTTATGCACTGATACCAAGATGATGTGGAATCAATGTACTGATGCATCAGATACCAAGTTGGCATACAATCAATGGCATGTAATGCAACATCAGTCAGACATCAAGATGATATGGCACAAGCACTAATATGCATCATATACCAAGATGGCATTGAGTTAATGGCACATGTACTGATGCATCAGATACCAAGATAACATGGCACAGGTACTGTAGACACCATATAATGACATAAAATCAATGGCATATGTATTGATGTATCTGATACATGAAATGGAATCAATGGCACATGGAATGCAACATCAGTCAGACACCAAGATGATATATGGCACATGTACTGATGCATCATATACCAAAATGGATTGAGTCAATGGTATAAGGCCTATGCACTGATGCATCAGACACCAAGATAACATGGCTCAGGTACTCTAGAAACCATATACATATACAATCAATGGCAAATGTACTGATGCATCTGATACAAGAAATGGAATCAATGGCACATTTATAGGCTACATCTATCAGACACCAAGGTGATATGGGATGTATACTGATGCATCAGATACCAAGATGATTTGGAATCAATATCACATGTACTGATGTATTAGACACCATGATGACAATCAATGTCACTTCATTCTACTGATGCATCGGATACATGACATGGAATCAATGACATATGCACTGCTGATATATCAGATGTCATAGAGTCAATGGATTACAGCACAGCACTGATCCATCAGATACCAAGATGTCATGGTGTAAGTACTAAGGCATTAGACACCAAGATGACAGAATCGCTGAAAGAATGTACTGAGATGCATCAGATGACATAGAACCAATGGCTCATCACACACCAAGATGGCACAATGTCATAGAATTAATGGCACATGTGCTGATACTTCAGACACTAACATGGCGCATACTGATACAGCAGACATTATTTATGGGCCTATCATATTCATAACGTTATATTCTTTAGTTCGAGTGGCTTCTAGTCGTTTTTTGTGGCGAATCATTCAAGATACTTCGTATTTCTGAGTTAAATCATACTTACGTGTGCTATATTTTCCAACCAGCAAATGACATTGTTGAATGAGGTTTCATTTGTTACATCATACATTAATATGATTCCCTGTAATAACATAACATTAATAATGGTCATGTTGATTAAAATGTGATAATATATAATGTTGTTATTTAAAATTATATTTGGCCTAACTGTAAAAAAAAAATCACAGTTTCACAATACTTTTCACAACATGGGCAACACCCATTTCAGCAGGCTCAATTGTTACAGCAGTGTGGTTAAAGACTATAAAATCATTAGAAACTTCCGGTAATCTAGCAGTTTAGATTACTAATAGATAATAAAAAATTATATTTCACCAACAACAACTATTTTAATTAGAAATCTGTTTATATATCAGTTGGACTTTGGGCTATTTTGAAACTGTTCAACTATCTACCTACAAGTGAAGCAACATATCAATGACGTGAATAAACTAGATATCAATTATGCCTATTTTGATATAGTAAACAATTTCATTGTTGCGTCGTCACTCACAGAAGCTCCTCTATAGTAAGTCGATGTCAATGTACGGAACCTCTCTTGTCCAGCTGTGTCCCTGCAACAGAATAGTACATCACATTAGTTTCCAAAATTCAACATTAAAATCAATGTGCAGTAGAGTGTAGACAACAATCAAACATAGTTCACACTAAAGATTTGGACGAGTTGCTGACGTAACGGGACAGCATTATTTCAGTGTGAACACGAATTTTATACCTCTATGGTGTGAACAACTTAGATGTTTACAAACGAAAAAGAAAAGAAAAAAGAAATTCTTGTGTTTTCGTCTGACGAGTGGTAGTGTGAATTATACTAAATTTTAATCGGATCATTTCCAAATATCAGTAATTGTTATTTATGTGAGAATTAACATTCTTTCATTCTATTCTATTCCATTCTATTCTAATGAAATGTACGTAGTGTGTTATCATGCAGTTGCATGGTTAGTGCAAGTAAAAATATAATCTAGCCATTCGTTCGTTCGAAGACACGAGGTCTTCGGCATTTCTAAAGTACATATGATACCTATGGCTCGTAATAAGGAGATACCGTTATGAATAAATTTTGAATTAGGTGTTTAAAAAAATCGGTAGGTTTTAAATCAAACGTTACTTATAAGCTGAGACAAATATTTGTATTTGTTTTAGTAATTATTGCAGTTCTCTTTGGATGTTGCTATTACAAACCCTCGTAGCTAGATTTAAGATGTCACCTTTCCGTCATTAGAGACTTCATAAAGGACCAAAAGGGAGACCATGTAGCACAGGTATTGACCAGGTAGTTGGTGCATATCGCTTCTTCAGGTGCAAAAACATTTTGGCATATTACATTATTTGGCGATCAATGAAAAGTTTGTAATGTTGTCCATATTGGTCGACCAAGTGGTTGCCATGGTAATCAGTCTGAAACGATTACCGTACTTATTGAAATAGATTTACACAGCAAGTTGTATTGATAGTGTTCTTTTACCCACTATACAGATATGGCAGATGTCTCATATTACTTTATTGAGTAAACTCTCCAGCGTAATTTTACTATAGTGATATGCTATATAAGTATAGATCGATGCATGTAAAGGCATCTGATGATTCCATCTATTGGTCAATATACTGTATAGGCTCATCATTTCTCAATGACTTGTATAGTGAATATTATGACTGACCTATTGTGCATGTTTTAAATAGAAATAGAAACTGAATGGACGTGTGGTCGCCAAGGTAGACAGGTTGGAATAATTATAGGGTCACCATAAAAATTAACTTTGAATTGCCTACCAGGGGTGTAAATCCTGCCGAACTCGACATGAGGGGACCCTCAGGGGAGAGCACGTTACAGAATGTTCGTCTATAAATCGAAACCTTTTTATATTATATTTATTAACAATTGAAAAAAACAGTTATTGATCACATTCTGGTGTTGACGACACAGGGGGCACGTGCTGGGGAAGTGAGATGATTTTAAATACTTGAGTGCAACTTTTGTTTTACAAATTTTCAGTATTTAAGACACCTAGGAGAAAAGTGTTTTGAGGCCTGTAGTTTTACACTATGGATACATCACCGGTCCTTCATGGATTACGTCATAATAGTTTTATGTGGTTCGCCACACGAACGTGCACACAAACACACAAACAGTGACATTGAATAAAATTTCAGCCCACCAGTTCTTTTTATCATTTTAAGGTAAATAATCATGACTGTGAACTTTTATTTTAACAATTGATCTGTGGGCAGACATGGCGTCATCATACAAAAGGCTGTGTAATCGTTTTATCAATTGGGTGAACATGCCACCAACTTTAATAACATTGGCTAATGTAAACAAACTGTTAATATAGGCCTATATATTTACTGTATATTTTAAGATGATGTCTGGAAAATACACACGAATTCATTTAGGCCTAGAAAAAATAATAATATAATAAAAACAATAACAATAATAATAATAGGCCTAGGCCTACTACTACTACTACTACTAATAATAATAATAATAATAACGTTAGACTTATAATATAGCGCTTCATGACAACAAGGCCTCTAAGCACTTCATATTATTATGATTATGATTATCATAATTATTATTATTATTATTACTGTTATTATTAACAAATAAAAGAACAAAAGAAACACATTGCCATAAACAGAATTACACAATAACCATAAAATTAATAAATATTTACAAATTTATATTTTGAGAAATTAATTAAATATGGGCGTAAAATAAATTTAGTTAGTTTAATAATAATAGCATTGGAAACTTTTAGACTAATGAGTGGACAGTTTATCATAATATTGCTATTGAAATACAAAAGCACATTTGACCTCAAGGAAACGTCCCCCATGACGCAATTGTTTGCGTTCTGTAAATAAGTGGTGATTTCAAGCATTGTGATAGACTTCTTTGAAATCTGGGATTTTACAAGTGGCCTAAAATATTATAAAAGAACTTAATAACCTACAATGGCCCCAAGTATAGTGATTTTAAATACACTGATTGACGACATGTTTGTCTCTTTCTCTCTCTGTAAATGATCTGATAAAAAAAATACCGTTGTATAGTTGCTTTTATATTTAGTGACACACTATAAAACTAGCCAATATTGTCTTTCTATTTTTAGTAAGCAAATTACCAGGTAGATATAAAACCCATGATATAAACATGTGACGAACTGTCAAGTTGAGATAATAAATACAAGACTGGTCATGCTGCATGTGATTTAAATAAACTCTGATTTGTAAACGTTACAACATTTCCAGCTCTTTCCTGGGTATTACCTAGTTTGATCTTTTTACGGTTAAAATGGATACTAATGGAATAAATTCGTTGATTAGTTCTTGTGTGTATATTTTATTGATTAGGGTTAGGTGTGGGGTACGGAACGGTACAGTATCGATTCCATAAATATTGTGGTTAGAATCAAAATATAATAAGAAATAGATAAAGTACTCTAAGGAAATGACGTCTCCGCACGAACCCTTGATCTTCCAAAGGAAAGCCTACTGTACTACATCAGTTCCATATACATTGATCACCTATCTCTACTTTATTTTTTAATATAGGCCAATATCTTGTAAGTGATTAACATTGCCTCTACATACCATATCTTTAAATTGATGCGTCTACCGTCCACTTCTGTACTACTGACCTTAAAGTCGCAACCTGTGACGAAAATCAAATCATTAATAAAAATTAGCTTAATGAATTAACAAACTAATCGTTTAGGCCTATGTAGTAGAAGCTGATAAAAGTGTTCTTTTTAAATATGTTGGGAAAAATTTAAAAAGATAATCATGATTGGAGAAACTGCATCACAAATATAGGCCTAGGCCTATTGCATAATATATACCCTTCAAAGGAATATGCGTAGTTCCTCTCGTTCACGCACATCACCTCTAACCTGAGGATTAAATTTGAAGAAGGGGCGGACCCAGAGGTGTTTGAAAGACTGGAAACACTACCCTTTGGGTCTAGGGCACGACACCGGGAATTCTAGACGCCCGGAAATGACCTCTGAAGGGTTTTAGCCCCTGCCCCTCCCACAAATCCGCCCATGTGAAGGATGTAGTTAGCATAATACTGGAGAGTCCCCTGTCCATGCAAAATCTTTATACTGATCAATCATAAGCAAATTTCCAACTTCCCGTGCCAAATTCAAAGCCAACCTTCGATATTTTCTGTGAAAGTCTGCTTTGGCCAGTGCAATTGATTGTAAGCAGAGGAAGTCCCGAAGAGGACTTATAACTGCGAATAACTACTGTAAAGAGTTTGTACGTTCTTCGCTAATGTAAATGAATAAGCCAGACAGTATTCTGTTCATTGTCTGTGAATGGGTGCCTTGGATTGATCGATTCCGGCTGGGACCAGGGGCGACCTAGAGCCTCCGAGAAGGCCCAGCCTAGAGGCAGAGCATCGTTTATGGGCGAACGTTTTGAAGTCACCAGTATGATATACTGGTCATCAAGACCCTATAACTCTAAAGCAATTAAATAATAATTTTTCCTATGATGATGCTTAACCCGCAGAAAACCTCGTCATTGTGAACTAGAGACGGTGCACTACATCAAATTTAATAATTCATCCATTTATTCTTCTTTTTTATTTTTACAAATATCATTTGTTCATAGTACATATAAAAAAGAACGATGTTCAAACGTCAATTAGTTTACGAATCCCATACATAATAGGTTTACGATTATTAATAAAAGTAACAAAAACACTATAAACTATGTAAAAATAAGACAGAAAGAAAGACCCTTTTAATGATAATACATTCATAAAATGAACGTTACTCCGAATAAAGAGAGTATATGATTCAACGTTTCAACCTTTATTGGGTCATGTTATTTAAACATAATCAGTGCATCTGATAATACATTCAGATTCCCAAAACGACAAAATGCTTATTGTAAAATCGTCGACGTTACTTCGAAGAGGTAGGAGCAAAGTATGTTGAGCCTATTCGTAAAAAAACCAAATTATTTTTGAGTTTTTAAGAAGAGGCACAAACTATTACTGTACTGGCACGAACTAATTGTTTGTGCCATTCGTGGTGACGTCAACAAATTATATGAGTCTAACATAAAACTATATGAGTCTAACATAAAATAAACCCTACCAATATAAAACCGATGTAGAAATCAAAGGCGCCGACGTTATGAAACCATTGGACACTGAATAAAATATAGTACTATAAACTATCATACGCTTTGCATCATGCGAAAGTTAATTTTGAATTTGCTTACTGATAGAATAAATATTGAAGCAATATTATAACTTTAGTAAAGATAAGTTATCCATTAAGAATCTGCTTGTCTCGTCTAAATGCATTGTCTGGTCATTTAATTCACATCTATAGCCTATACTTAAAGTTCATCTATTTTTCATGCAGTTTATTTATTCATGTAGGATAGGATATAGTAATCAGATATAATGCCATTTTCACTAAGGTCCCTGCGAACTTGAGGGTTTCTGAGTGCAGAACAGATCAGTAAAATGTATTGCAGTACTTTGGCTTCAGTTGGTTGATATTCCTTAGTTGTATGACGTTTTATAGCGTTTCGTTTGTAGTTCTATTTTTTGTGTATTTTGTGTTTGTAAAGCGCGTAGACCTTGGTTTGTTTGTGCTTTTCGTTATACCTTACACCATTATTATGACATGCTTTCTGCATTACATCTTATGAAAGTCTTACTGAAAGTTTTATTTTTGAGAATGTCGAAACACCTTTTCATCTATAGCGCGCGCCTTACTACCATTTATATAATAATAATAATATACATATACATATACAATATATATATATATATATATATGTAAATTAAAACAAGCACCTTGTCTCAATGTCTTACTATTGTATATCTGT